TTTTTCCATAAGACGGTAAACCATGTAAATATCTTGTTATTTCATAAATACCATAAATCTCCTGTAAACTAAAATGAATATATCCAACTGGGGCTGGAGGAGGTACAACACTTTCAGTTAAATGAGATATACCCAAACCACAGTAAACATAACGTTCCAAAACATACCACAGCGTTTCAATAAAAAAGGGATACCTAAACTTTTCAGGGACATTGGTGGACTCTTCAGCTTTTGCGACACGTAGTTGTTCTTGAATACCAAAGGAATGTAAAAAGTGTCCTCCGAATACTATAGAGTCTTTAGTAGTATAAACAGCATAAATCCAACCAGTAGGTATGAAAAATGTATCTCCTGCGTTCAATGTTACACGTCCACATTCTTTAACAGTATCTCCGAAAAATGTGTCACCCTGTTTGCCAGACAATATCCATTGTTCATACAGACTAATGTTTACATCCGTAGGAGGAACTATCCAAAACACTTTGCTCCCTTTAAATATATGAATCCAGACAGATGCACCACCAAAATCAATGTGAAAATCTGTATAACAGCCTTTAACCGACATCAAACAAAACTTTTGTACCTTTGGATACGGCGTACCACCATATTTTACATTAGTTGATTTTGTTTGACTTCCTTTAAAATGTCTGGGCCAAACACAATCAACCCAATCCAATTCTCGCACAATATTGGGACTTTTTACATATTTTTCTAGCTTAGTGTTGCTGAACTCGAGTGGATTTACATTTAACAGTTTGTCTTTAATTGGTTCCTGATAATATTTTCCCCATCTCTTAAAATTTATTTTAAACTTCTTTTGAGTTTTTACATCAGTTACATCTAGTTTTCTTCTTGAACCCACATAAGTAATAATACGATTTACAGAAAAATTAGGAGTAGGAACGCGTAAACCGAGACCTACCTTATCATTAAACAACAATGGTATTGTAAAACCATATTTTTGTAAGTAGGAAATGGTCAAATCTTTTCCCTCCATCCGCTTAACGAAATAGGAATCTGTATAACTTGTTGAGTCAAGTTTATCTTGAAGACTATAAGATCGTACACCATCAATTTCATCTCCAAACGCCCCGCCTTCGGAATATGTTTTTTTTTCATTGCGAGTTTTGCTTCTCGTCCAATATTTGTGCTGCGCCGGAAGCGGCGGCGGGACAGCGGCAGTGTTAGTTTTCCCGGGCTGGTTGTCACGCGAATTCGACGCCATTCTCGAACAATAATCGCTTGCGCCTTCTCTCCGACGACGTTGAAAGGTAGCGGTGCGCGCACTAGTACACTCACTGATAGACAGTTGAGATACACAGAACGGCCATTATCACTGCAATTTAAAGAAAGCTGATTGTGCAGTGTAACCATTTTATACAAACTAAAATATTTTACTGATTTAGTATTGTTCATGATGATAAATTCATAATATAATATTATTATTCATTAATAATTATTAATATTTCGAGTAATATTGTACTATTACAGTTAATGAGAGCGGTAAAATAAAAATTATAAACCCATAACCAATAATATATAACTGACGCGGTACACACGTTCACACCGGCACGCACCGACGCACGCTACGATTCTCTTCTCTCGCTGCCCGTTCGATTGGTCGCTCGCACGCACGCACCCACTCTAACCTCGCGTGGTGACTGCGTGTCGAGATCGTTACGAAAAATGTGATCGAGCGTGTCGAACGGAAGTGGATTGGGGGGGGGGGGGTATAGGTTAGTGAAGATAGAAAGAAAGAGTTACGTTTCAAATTAAATAAATAAAAATTATTGATATTATGATTAAAATTATTACAAAACAATATTATAAGGTTAAAATGAGAATCCCTGAATATATAGTAGAAAATATTACACTATTTGCTATAACGTATTTACGAAAACAATAAGGGAAAAAATTCTATAAAACATAAACTATTTTTTATGTACCGTGTACCGTGGTACACGGTTTGGAAACCGCTGCATTAGATCATATATAAGTATATAATATAAGATTCATACGATATTATCAATTTGGAGCGAGTATAATATACTCCAAAGAAACTTTTACTTATATCGGCTTTGGTAATTTTTACTTGGCTCTTTCTTACAATAATATCATTGATTCGCGTATCTCTATATATTCGCGATCCATTCTTTTATATGTCTATGTTCATTTTTGATTGGATGCGAATCATGTCCGTCTCATATTCCAAAATGCAAACAACACTCACCATGCGTGATAAGAATTATGATAACGTAAATGGTCTACGAAATCCGAATATCTTTGACTTTTGAGCAACACTATTAATTTTGTAAACATCTTATATGCAAGCTACCAGAGTGTGGCGAAAGTTTTTTTGGCATTAACAGATGGTTGATGCCAACAAACAGTTGAATCAAAAAAAAAAAAAATTCTATATTAATAATAATATTATTTTATTATTTTATTCTTATTAATAATCTTAATTGTTTGTCCATCCAGACTGTTTATTATGTGATACAATAAAATAAGGTATATAAGAGTAGCGGTAATCTACAGGTTATTTTAAGTTTTGGTAGGAGCGCTGTAGCCCCACCCACAGATTTTTTAAATAATTTTTAAAAAAAAAAAAATTTTCAAAAAAATATTAACAATACAATCGAAAACAGAACTATTCGCAATTTTTTGTTGCTGAAATTTTTCCTGTTTACTACCAACAGTTTTTTTTTAAAAAAAAAATTATAAAGTACTATTTGTTCTATTAATGTAAATTGAATTTCCAACTCAACAAATCAATTGGACAGGTTAGTTATTAATTAAAGTGTATTTTTATTATTCGAAAAAAAAAAAAAAAAAAGAAATGTATTCACAAATGTATCATGACCTATTTATAAAATAAAAATTCAATTTTAAAATCATTTTGGATTTTTACTAAAAATTTCCAATACGGATTTCATGAACTGTAAATGTCGGGTTTGATGGTTTCAAAAATATTTGTTTGAATTAGTAAACTGGGTACATTATTATACAAAAAAAATTTAGCACATTTAGTATGTACATAGTATTTAAATATTTACGATTATATAAAAACTCTTTACTGATTGTAGTTTACGGACTCGGTTCAATTTACTAAAAACAAATGTTATAATACTATTTATTTTAATTTTAAAGTAAATATATATAATGAAAAGCATTACCGTGAGAATGTATACAATAAAGAATGATTGAAAATAATATAGTTTGTTATTAATAATATTATTATTATTTATGAATTAGGTATGATTATAATATGATTTTTTTTATAAATTATAGGTAATTATATTAATAATATCATTATAAAATTAAATTAATAAAAAAATCAATTACGAACTTTGATGACATTAGTCGCCAAAATAAGTCAACTGGCAATCTTCACACTTTTAAGTATTGAAAGACCTTACTTTCAATCAAATATTTCATCGAAAAAAACAAATTCTTTTAATCAATAAAAATTATAGTTCTTTTAAAAATGATAACATAGGATTTAAGGTATCCACCATTTATTTTATTAAAATACTATATATAATATTATTATTATATCATATTATAGATATTTTTGAAAAAACATTACAAAATAAAAATGATTGTTATACTTAACCAGTGGTTAAATGGTTAGGTTAGTTAATGATAAAAAACATAAATTATTTATCAATGTAAAATTATTAATCCGTAAAATATTTAATAAAACTCAGATAATTTCTACTACATCACAGCTAAAATTTCAAAATTGAAAATTTTAAATCATATTTCATCATATATAAATTATAATTCATTGTTTTTTTTATATTTTTTATTAAATAATTTTTTGTATTGTTTCAACAGTATTTATTTATTTGAATTAATATTATTATTAAGTTTCTGTTCATAACTATATTTATTAAACTGAATAAATATGACTACATTAATTTCCAGATTGTTATTCTTATCCCCTTCATTAATCGTGTTTGCTTGTTTTTATACTTATTTGATATTCTGTTTTACCTACTATTTGAACATTATTAGGTCTTTGGTCTGAAGACGTAACGGTGGAAACGGAATGGAAATAGTTTTTTTTTTTTTTTTTATGGAAGATAAATTATTTGTCTTTACCAGGTTTATTAAAAATGAATTTATAATATTATTGTCATAGATCATTATATCTTCGGTGGTTAATTGGTATATTAATAATTTTAACGGGGCGAGCTAGATTTAGAAAGATTTAGATTTGAAAAGCGAATATTATATTATAATTATAATATTATTCGGAATTTTATTTCGGTATAAACACCGATAACGGTGGTCCGTCATTTGATACAATTATAATATAATCCGACCGCCGAGGAAATTCTCATTAAGACAAGAATAATTATTATATTAAAATTTAATAAATTAGTAGATTAGAATTTGCGAAAAATTATTTTTTCATTGATACAGCGCTATCTACTAGCAATCCGCATAAACAGTTTTTGTCGCCGAAAACCCATGTTAAAAATACTGTGGTAGGCCATCTATTTAATATAAGTATCGTTCCTTAGGTTTCTATCGCTATTAATAGTACTTTTAACTTTCCATAAAGTTGTGTGTTGACGATATATATAATTGAAATAGTTCGACAATGAATCCGTGGTATTCATTGCGCTTTGCCATAATAACTGGAATTCAACTGAACCGAAAACATTTCAAACAAGCACAATCTCCATTAATTATTTGCACAATACCCATGCATAATATACGTGTCAGATACAAAATAATATTGCGTATTATAATTCATCGTGTAAGGAAACCTTTTAATTATCTCCAGAATACACTGAAAATTGAACTGTTAAAGCTGGTTAAGGTCCCTACACGCTATTGTGGTGGCGATATTAAAATCACTGAACTGAACACATTGCCGGCGGTGACAATTTGTATCCAGTATAAACATAATATATTTATATATTACATAAAATAATTATGTAGTTAGTTAATTAATTCCTATGCAATACGATATATTATTTGATAAATTGACGATTGATCTATATAATACGTTAGTGTAATATTAAGTACTTTTACTAATACATATATTATATTTATAATAAATATATGTAATATATTGTATTGATTATTTTTACATGAAACTAACCTTCATTTTAAATACATGGTATCCACTTAAAAGCATACAAAAACAAATTAGTTAGTAATTAGTAAGTTAGTTAGTCAATAATGAATAAAAAATAGTAATTTTTAATTTCGTATAATTATACATATTTTCATAATCTAAAAGTATAATAATGTATATAATAATAAATAGATAATTTAAAATAATAAATAGTAATACAAATTTATTTGAAGTACTAACATTGATTTTGAGGAAAAATTAAGGATGTCAATAGAAAATACCGCTGCGCGGTGGATCAAGAATGCTGCGGTTTTCAAATAAATCGCACGGCAAGGCAATATTTAACTGCGGCCAAATTACAGCTACAGTGAGGCAAGGGCGTATTTTGGGGGTTGATATGGGTGTTAGAATACCCCCCCCCCATCAACCGTATTTTATCGTATTTCAACAAACTGCAAACTTACATACAGTATAATTTTAATAAACGATGTATACAACTTGTAGATTTTTCATATACCGTCTTAATACAATAATTTACATTTATATAAGAATTTATATAAATACATGGTATCTATTGATGTAATACGGGAGGAGAAAGAGCGCCTACTTACCATAAGTCTATTACATTTTTAAACACCCCCCCCCCCTTAAATGAATCCTGGATAGGCCACTGGTGTGCGGATTCCCATTACAAAACGCAATAAGTACAATACGGATAACCAGTATTTGAAAACATATCTCAGGAAATTGTAACAAGTATGATTAATAATAAATGCACGAAAAAAACTGGTTGCCGGTATACTAAAAAAATTGAAAATTTCTTTAACTTTGCATTTTTATTCTCCTAAGGTTTATGAATATGGCAGATTTGTGCTTTATTAATTAATACTCTATATCGGGTATTGAATATTTTATTCTATATATGCTCCATGGAGATTTAGCATGAGTAGTGCAGAATAGCAGTAATTTAGAAACGGATCATTTCATTGCATTATTAGAGGCTTTGGTAATTGCTTTAACTACTTGTTAAATACTACAGCATAGAATAAAATGTCAAATATTTTTCAATATGAATTCAAAATGTATTTTATTGTTATAAATGGATTTATGTATAAACATACACACACATACATATATATTATATATAACATAATTTACTAATATTGTATACCAGGCGTCACCAAATTCATTTTATTGGCTCTGGAAAACTTCCATAATTTCTAATATGGCCCACCCTTCAAAAGTATTATTTGATGACTTCTGTTGTATATTATTAATAACTTAAAATATTGTTACCTATGTAATTTAAGTTTTCTATAGGTTGTTGTGTATTTGTGGCATAACCTTCATTAAAAAATATCTCTTTTTATAGATCTGTACTAGCACTTCCACATAAAAAATCAATTAAAAGTTAGACTTCTTCTGTAAATGGAGAACCAGGATTTATCCAAGAATTTTTGAGATCATTAAATACATTACATCCACAAGACAAGCATTTTAATTTAACTTTCGATGCAATGTCTATAAGAAGACGGGTAATCTGGAATGATAAAGATAATATATTTGTTGGTTACTGTGATTTTGGTAATGATCTACAACTCGATGGAAATCAAGTGGAAGCTACAGAAGTATTAGTGTTTATGTTAATAAGCTTAAATGGAAAATGGAAATTTTCAATTGGTTATTTTTTTCAAAATAAAATCCAATCTCATGTACAGGCTGAAATTATCAACACTGCATTGAAACTTACTTATGATATAGGTATATAGGGGATTACATGCGATGGAATATACACAAATATATCAGAGAAGACAATTTTAGGATGTAAAATTAATGTAGATATGTATTAAAAGACATTATATCATATTTTTTTATCCTATAAATAAATCTCAAGTGTATTATGTGTCAGATCCGTGACATAATTTAAAATTATCTAGAAACATTTTAGGAAACTGTGGTATATTAGAATCAAATATAGGAATTATTCGTTGGAAACATACTTCTAACCTTAATACTGTTCAAAATGACTTTTTCTTTGATTTTCTGATAAGTTATCCATGTATCATATTAACTGGAGAAATAATTAAATGAAAGTTAAATATCTAGCACACACTTTCAGTGCATCAACAGCAGATGCGCTAGTTTTTGAAACAAATTAACTTTCCAACATTTTCTAATGTTGACGGTACAATTGAATATTGTCGAGTAATGGACAAAATATATTGAACATTTAAATTCAAAAAGTTATTTTTTGAAAGGTTTTAAACTATCACTTTCTATAAAAAAAATATTGAAATTTTAAAAGAAGTTATAATACCTATTATACATTATTAATATGAATTCAAGTTTTGAGGAAAATTCTTGTATAAGTCAGATAAAAAAAAACATTTATTATAGGTTTTACTGTTGCAATAAAATCTATGTTTAGCATTTCTCCAGCAATATTTTCTAGTAATTATGATGAAATGAAATTTAGTTATATTTTAACATACAAATTCAGATTTAATTGAAGCAAAAAAATAAATTATTTATTATATTTTGGGTTACATTTTTTAGATTGTCAATCAGTTAGTTTTGAACAGTCATATGGAAACGTGTTTTCTGTGAACACTTTGAATCAAAAAGTCAAAAACATGAACAAATATTGTGTTGATTTAAGCTTGTACAGTTACATATTGTATCGGTACAAATAAATATATGTAATGTAGTAGTAGAACACTAAATAATCCTTATACTGATTTTTCAGGAGAAGAGTTTTAATATTTTTATTAGGTAGTAACTTGTTCAACAGTAGTGAAGAATGCTTATCAACTAGCTAGTTATGTTAACACACTCGTACTAAGTCATAATACATTCTCTAGGACAGTTCCATTGACAGATGGACAATAGCATCTACAGTCTACGCAGTTTACTTAACACCCACTCAGCATTCACTATCACATTTGTATAAATTGAAAATATACCAATTAATATACTAGTAATTGATCAAAATGAAAATATGTTTTAGAAAGCCCATCTGGAATTGGTAGGGGTGAAGGATTTTAAACAAGGGATATGAGCGCAAAGAAAGACGGTCTTGGAATTTTTTTAGAAGTATTCGGTTCCTTCATTAATAGTTTTTAATTTCAGATTTGAATGAAGAGTATAATTTTGTTACATAAATATAGGGAATCATTAATTAATTTTTCTCTCATAGTCTCATAATTTTTTATAAGATGGGCCCATGTTAGTTGTTTATCTACTGTAATACCCAAGTATTTAACTGTGGGAGAAGAAGGAATTGGAACTCCATTGAGAGTTACCTGCGGTTAAGAATAAGGCACAATAGTTTAGCCAAAAAATTATTGTCAATCATAATAAAATAATAATAAATTAAAATAAGATTAAAAATTAGTAAATGATTAATAATTGCATATTAATATATAAATAAATGAATGGTTACTATATAGAATAATTAAATAAGAAGTATTATTATATTTGTAAAATACAACTGGTTTTGAATTAAAAATTCATCTCAAGTGTATATAAAATCAATAAAATTGCATATAGGTAAACATTTAAATTTATTTTTAACATAATTTTTTACATTAAACAATAAGGCATTATTTAATAATAAACTACTTACTTAAATAAAACACACTTTTAGAATGAAAAAAAAAAATAATACTATCTCTTTTCTTTATCTTAAATCTTTATTATTTTATATTAGTAAATAAATCAATACTACAGTCGTAAATCTGAAGTATAATTATATTGTGATTAAACCCTTTATAAATAATGTAGTTTAAAAAAATAAAATAAATATATCCTATATGTTTTTGAAGAGCGGGTTATAGTTCCATTCAATTTTATTTTTTATTTTTTTTTCAAGCTGGTATTCGGTTGATTCTATTGGTTCTGTATTATTTTTATGTCATAATATCTTATTTTCATAATCTATTAAAATACATACTTACATAACTTGACTGGGGCAACTGCTCCCACGACCTAAAACTACATTGTTCCAGGGTTTTTAGCATTCCTATACCTAATATTTTATTAATTTGCTACACATATGCAGCTAAATATAAAAGTATATAATAGTATTTTTATTGTGAAAAATAGTTTCTTTGTAATTTTATTATAATAATAAATATTAATTATGGTTTAAAAAAAAAATAGTAATTTTATTATTGTTTCGATTAAATCTTATAGTTTATACAAAAAAAATATTTTTTTAAAATGAGTTAATAAATAAAAATAGAAATATATATAATATAATAATATAAGTGTTAATATATATAATATATTAACACAATTAAGTAAAAATGACCTTTTTAATTATTTGTATTGTATGTAGTTAATATTTTTTTTTTTTTTTTTACTGATAGATACGATCAAAATTGTTTAATTAAGGAAATATACTCAAAAAATATTTAACTGTTGGCAATTCATACTTGAAACATAAAGATTCTTTTTTTAAAATAACTAATAATTAATAAGAAAAAATATGTAATTTAAAAAAAAGGAATCAAACGCTTTTAACTACATTTATAAAACAGTGTAATTATCAATTTATATATTTATTGAACATTTATACAATTTTTATACAACTTTTATACAATTCATATATACATACATACATCAATTTGGCATCAACCACCTGTTGATGCCAAAAAAACATTTGGCACATTCTGGTCTCTTGCATTGACATGATCTCCTACAGCCCGAAGGATTCGCATTTCCTGTTTTACGGATCTTCATTTTACTATTCATGTCTCCAGCACTATTATGAGACCTTTTTTTTCTTTCTTTGTCTCCTTGCATTTGAAGAATAAGTTTTCCACTTATGACATCTTCAGGTTGGTCATGTATATGTGTATTATAAACAGAATATCCATATTTTATTAATTCACTAGGATTCTTGACAAAAGGAGGAACTCTTTTTCCATAAGACGGTAAACCATGTAAATATCTTGTTATTTCATAAATACCATAAATCTCCTGTAAACTAAAATGAATATATCCAACTGGGGCTGGAGGAGGTACAACACTTTCAGTTAAATGAGATATACCCAAACCACAGTAAACATAACGTTCCAAAACATACCACAGCGTTTCAATAAAAAAGGGATACCTAAACTTTTCAGGGACATTGGTGGACTCTTCAGCTTTTGCGACACGTAGTTGTTCTTGAATACCAAAGGAATGTAAAAAGTGTCCTCCGAATACTATAGAGTCTTTAGTAGTATAAACAGCATAAATCCAACCAGTAGGTATGAAAAATGTATCTCCTGCGTTCAATGTTACACGTCCACATTCTTTAACAGTATCTCCGAAAAATGTGTCACCCTGTTTGCCAGACAATATCCATTGTTCATACAGACTAATGTTTACATCCGTAGGAGGAACTATCCAAAACACTTTGCTCCCTTTAAATATATGAATCCAGACAGATGCACCACCAAAATCAATGTGAAAATCTGTATAACAGCCTTTAACCGACATCAAACAAAACTTTTGTACCTTTGGATACGGCGTACCACCATATTTTACATTAGTTGATTTTGTTTGACTTCCTTTAAAATGTCTGGGCCAAACACAATCAACCCAATCCAATTCTCGCACAATATTGGGACTTTTTACATATTTTTCTAGCTTAGTGTTGCTGAACTCGAGTGGATTTACATTTAACAGTTTGTCTTTAATTGGTTCCTGATAATATTTTCCCCATCTCTTAAAATTTATTTTAAACTTCTTTTGAGTTTTTACATCAGTTACATCTAGTTTTCTTCTTGAACCCACATAAGTAATAATACGATTTACAGAAAAATTAGGAGTAGGAACGCGTAAACCGAGACCTACCTTATCATTAAACAACAATGGTATTGTAAAACCATATTTTTGTAAGTAGGAAATGGTCAAATCTTTTCCCTCCATCCGCTTAACGAAATAGGAATCTGTATAACTTGTTGAGTCAAGTTTATCTTGAAGACTATAAGATCGTACACCATCAATTTCATCTCCAAACGCCCCGCCTTCGGAATATGTTTTTTTTT